TAATAACGACATAAAAAAAAAAAAAAAAACCAACCAAAAGAAAGAAGGAGCAGATCAAAAGAAAAACAACAACACAACAAACAAACAAAAAATACTCTCCTCCTATTTGTAGGACCTACACAAGTTGGTTCCATTATCAAATAAATGGTGAAAACATACAAACAAGGAAAGAAGATAGAGGCTTTTTGAGGCTGTAAGGCGCCGAATTATAGTCCGGCGCCTCTGGAATATATATTTATGTATACGATTTGTGGCAATGTAATCAGTAATGATAATTAATTCATGATGAGTTGGATAACAGAACATACGTCGTAGGTTATTGTAAGTTATACCATGATGGTGCTGTGCGAGGCCAGCAGCTATAGGTTGTTGCATACGATTTACTCCTCCGACTATCGACATTATATATAGCATTCTGTAGGCTGTCTGCTTGCCTCCCCCCCCCAATCCCCTCCACTTATCGTAGTGGGAAATGCATTTCACCGAGGGCCCCCCAAAAATTTTTTAAAAAATAAATAAATAAATAAAATTAAATAATTAATCACGTTTGAATCGAACTTAACTTTCATGTGGGTAACATGACACAGCACATGTAGCCTACAATTTGGTGAAGGTTCCATCGACAGGATCTAGCCAAATATAAACCTATGACGTCTCACGGGCCTAAAGTGGGCATAATTTGAGAAATCAGTGCACTACACTTACCCGACTAGACTAGACTTAGAAAGGACTTCAACGACGTTAATTATATAGTTGTGCGTGTACATGTATTAACAGTACAGTAGAAGGAGAAGGAGCAATCCATGCTTTTACACTAAGATGTGTAGGACATAAACAACACGAACGAGGTGAGCAATATTTCAGGGAAAGAGACGCACGCTGAACAACCCCCAAAGCACCCCCCCCTCACACAAACACACTTTTCTATAAAAAAAAGAAAGAAAAAAAGGGAACAATGAGAACTTTATCCCTCCCCCTCCTGCCCCCCTCGGGTCTAACGCGAAAAATAGCAAAAGAAGCACAACTAAACAGTAAACTAGAAAATTAAAGAATTAAAGCAATCAATAAATAGCTCAAAATTGGGAAATAAGCTTAAAAGCTTTCTTCAGACACGTTGGTAACGTTGAAAATAATAAATGCAAAGAAATTAATTTGGTTTAAAATGAAAATTAAAAGAAACCCAAGCGAAACAGAATACAGTACATGTTTGTAACCCAAACCATAAACAAAAGTGGAAAAAAGTTGCACCACTTTCATCTTATCCCATTCTCTGATTGTTTAGGTATTTCACTGGAGAAAGCAGACATCACCTATTGCTGTAAAGGTAGACTTCACTGTAACGTTGTGTTTCGCTTTTTAAGGCAATCATCTGCATCTCTGTAGTCAAAAGCGTCACTATAATTTTTAATGCCACAAGTCGGGGGAAAATCAACAACGCCCATGCACTTTATATTTCATGTACCGGTATTAAATCTGTAGGCTGAATGTGTCGTACTTATAGCAAAGCTCTACCCTCATATCATGTCAGTAAGATAAGAATGACGACCGCAACATAAGAAATGGGCAGCCTCAGAGATGAAGAGAGGAGCAGACACATTCTTCGTTCAAATGGTGATTGGAGGCATCTGTTTGTCTGCAGTCCTCTATTATGAATCGAATTATAAAAAGGTGCTGTCATCACAACTGTGGGAAAGAGAGAGAGAGAGAGAGAGAGAGCGAGAGAGAGAGAGAGCGAGAGAGAGAGCGAGAGAGAGCGAGAGAGAGAGAGAGAGCGAGAGAGAGAGAGCGAGAGAGAGAGAGAGAAAGAGAGAGAGAGAGAGAGAGAGAGAGAGAGAGAGAGAGAGAGAGAGAGAGAGAGTTGTGATCTGAGAATTATTATTATACCTGTTTTTGTGATAGTCACTGGAATGGCGCCAGTGTTCGGGATTTCATAGCACTGTTGTTGCAGGTAACTATTATATAACATTGTTGTGAGGGAGAGTAGCACTGATGAACTTATGGAGCATTTCACTAGTGGTGATGAAGTTTTCTTTCCCTGCCGAACAATAATTTGTGAATTATGATATTATAGCGGCTGTGAAATTCCTTAAAGTATGCCTTATATTCATGTCATCATTTTATGGGACCCCCCCCCCCCCAAAAAAAAAAAAAATAATCCCACCAAAAACAAACTAAATATAGACCCCCCCCCCCTCCTAAAAAACCCAACTCAAACCTTTGGCAAAAAAAACGAAACCAAATAATAATCTAATCTCACGGCACACATTCAGTCCTCGTTATTCGGTGTCGTCATTTTCGTTTTTTTGTCGTTTCGGTTAGTCTGTTTGGTAGGCCTTGTTGACGTGACCTCCGTTGACCTCTGCTTCAGTGGTGACCACTGTGGTCGGCTGCTGTGGAGATGCTGACACCGAAGGACCGGAACCAGATGCTGTTGTCTCAGTCTTAGCCTGGTTGGGCCCCTACGGAGGGAAAGTTTAAAGTGTCGTTTTTAGCATAACATTGGAAAATTGTGAGCGTAAGTTTTGTAGAAAAACTTTAGTTCTCCCAAGAACAATCTACAATGTATAACTTTTGTGAAGGGGCTGACTGTTCCGCCCTGCTTTTGGGGATACTACATAATGATATGAGCAGAAAGACGGGGGCCATCTTACACAGTATGTCTCCTTCAATGTAATAGCTCCTCTTAAGCATGCACGCCAGAATATCTGGTAAAAACAAGCTATTCCGGTACCTTTCAATTGGAATATAGTACAAGGCCTTCTTTTTAATAAACACTGTCCTTAAAACTTTTCAATGTGTTTGTATAATAGTAATAGCGCCGTGGAGGTAATAATAAAGATACCACTATAATTTGGCATACGAACTGTCACGATCGTGTGTATACAATTTCAAAGACCACACACCTGGGCTTGAACCCCCATGCCCTGAGAGATCGCATAGATCGCCTGTTGGAGTTCTGGATTCTGGCTCGCTCCCGCCAAGACCTGAGGCGGTAGATAAACGGGTACCTGTGGACATGTCCAAAAAAAATATGAAAAGAACGAACGAACGTAAAAAGAAAAGACAGGAGAAGAAATGGTATGGCACGAGATAAGATGCAATGAAATAAGTTATGGAAAGATTGAAAAAAAGATGGAATAGAACATAATATAAAACAAGAACAAAAGATGTGGATAAGATAAGATCAAATAGGAGAAAAAGTAGACAAAAATATGTGATAAGATAACAAAAGTTAAACACTTTGCTAAAGTTCCATTGGAAAATAAGACGTGTGCCTTGAGCAGCTTTGACAGCTCTTAGTATAAAGTCATTATAATCTTTTAACACGATGACCGGATATTTTTCAGCACTTTAGACAGTTTTTTTTTCACGTCACCCAAAGGTACATTGTGCAAACACCCACAGGAGAAAGAGGTGGCGGGAAGAGAGGGAGAGAGAGACAGAGAGAGAGAGAGAGAGAGAGACAGAGAGAGAGAGAGACAGAGAGACAGAGAGACAGAGAGACAGAGAGACAGAGATAAGGGGGGGTAGAGAGACTGGGAGAGAGAGAGAAAGAGAGATGAGAGAGAGAGAGGAGATAGATAGATAGATAGAGATATAGATAGATAGATAGATAGAGAGAGAGAGAGAGAGAGAGAGAGAGAGAGAGAGAGAGAGAGAGAGAGAGGGGGGGGGGGTAAATGGGGAGTGGGGGAAATGAAGAGAGTGCAACAGTTGCCATAGCCATTGTTTTACAGTCTGGCTATTTTTGGCGAGGAAGGAAAGTTTCTCCGCAACATCCCCACCATGTAGGCTACGTAGATCGAACGAGAACGATGATTATACACTTATGTTTTGAGTGGACACAACCTCCGGGCACTGCCAGCCTTGGTCCATCAGTAGGACACGTTTGACAATTCGCTGGCGTAGAATTACAAAGTTCTGTCTGACATTTTTGGCCGTTTTGAGGTACTAAGAGCATGAGGTCAGAAACCAAAGGTTTTTTCTGCTCTATCAAAATTGTAAGATTATATATAGATCTAGTCGTTATCAAGATATTCAAAGAAATGCATTCGAAAAAGCTTGACATGTTGTCATGTGAAAAGCAAAGCTTTTGACATCAAATTTCTCAAAACTAAAAACTGAGCAGATAGAACTCGATGTAATTTTGTGTGCCCTGAAAAATTCTCTTCACAATCCCTCCTGAGTCACTCAACACGTCCATTTTTTCTTCTTCTTAGTTTTTCCAGTAGTTGGACGCTGCAACTCAGATCTGTCTGCAATACTGCAATATATCGACACCCTGTCTCTTGCCATTTTACCTGGCTGAGTTGTTTTGGCTCTACGTCAGGTTTCTGAGTCTTGTTTCCCTTTTCTAATTGGTCTCCCCCTTTCTGTCTTGCCTTCAATCTTTGACTCCAAGAAAATTTCTCGAGTGATTCATTGCGTTTGAAATGCCCACTAATATACACTGCTTTTAACACATCGTCGGCAAGTTGTTTAAATATGTGCTTAGCCCAGAAAACATTTTTTAAAGAGAGAAAAACACTTCCTTTTTTAAACAATTATACCGACATAACGTACATGTAGGTCTATCTTTTTGTTGTTGCTTTTTTAATATTTAGAATTTGAATTTCAACTAAATGTTTATTGATCACATGCAACAAATCAGTCAAAATGTTGTGCTTCGTACACCTGAACGGCGGGCTTATGATGATAAGGCATCCTACCTGCTGTGCACCAGCCTGTTGTGTGGCCATGACGCCGGCAAAGGCGGTGATGATGTCCTTGATGAGTCCAGAGTTGTCCTGCTGGGCGGGGCTGTGGGCGTGTCCACCGTCTGCTCCACCTTTTCGCACTTTATCCTTGAGGCTTTTCATACGCATACCAGCGCTGACGGTTCCTTCGGGCTCGTCCAATCCAGTGTCGCTGTCCAACTGGCTGATCTGTGGCACGGCAGTGCATTGGAAGCTTGAGTTAATTTATGTATTCTCAATCTAACCTTATTTATCTCAACACTGTCATGCCTACTCTGTAATCCTAATAAAGACCCAGAAGAGTCGTGGGCGGTGCAGTGAAGTGGTTACATGTAATAGGAATATTATCTGTGCAAAATAAAGAACTTCACCACTACACAATCTGTTACCTGCACAATGAATCTATTGAGTGGGGTTATAGAAAGTAGACTACTTTTTAAAGGTTATTGTATTTGAAGTTTGATTGAAACAGTACAAAACGATAAACAAGAAAGCTCACACATTCTCTCAAGCGGAAAGTAAGACCTTTCACAGACACATTTCAACCACCCCCCTCCCCCAGAAAGTGTGAGGGTTAAAAAAATTAATCTCATTAGTTAAATTTCAACTGTCGAATTATTTTCCTTTTTGAATTAAACGCCATGCTAAACAAAAGTAGGCTCAGCGATAGAGTAAGTCAGAGAGAGAAAAAAAAACAGAAGAAAGAAAATAAAGAGAGTTGTCGTGACAAGCCTTTCCCAATGAAAGGGCGGAAGGGCAACAATTGACTCGTCAGCTAGGTTTCAGAAACAGAGACAGAA